AATGCCATTTTCTCATAATTATGCAAATGTGGTCCTTATTTGTAATAAGTTATGTTTAATTATGTTCACCTTCACTTAACTTTCAAACACCCCAAGTATGAAATTCCAGGCAGTTACCACTATGCAATTATAACATTTTCTCATTAATTATGCAAATTAAGTCTTCATTTGCATAATCAATATTTGCCTGTGTTTCTCTCGTTCTTAATAACATATGTTACAAGCTTGAACTTCCTATCATGGAATGCAGCTAATTTATAGAATTTCCTCATTAAATATGCAAATTACATCAATATTTGCATAATTGTAATATCATTATGTCAAGCATCACTTAAGCTACCTACATACCAAAAATCACGATGATCCATCAATCGGTTCTTGAGTTATCCTCTTTTAAACATTTGTCCTTTAAACCCCCCTGCAGTTCTAGAGCAAGCAACTAGGGGGCTCAAACTCATGTCACTTCATCCCCAGCACAAGAGCTATCTACCACCTAAATTTGGTTACCCTAGCATGTCTGGATCTTGAGATATCAAAACCGGAAGTTCTGCTGCAGTACCATGACAAGCCGCCAGGTGGCCCAAAATCTAATCATTTTGAGGTCTTATCAAGACCTACCCACCTACCAAGTATCAAGACAATCCATTTAACCCTTCTCAAGTTATCGTGTTGACAGACAGACAGACAGACAGACAGACACACACACACATACACGAACGCCTCTGAAAACATAACCTTCTTGGCGAAGGTAATTACATCACAACTTGGTGTTCAATGAATGTTCACAAGTATTATTTTCGCCCCCGTAACACACCATTGAGGGTGAATAATGTTCTTACATTAACAGATGCCGGTGTACGTTTAGATGTATGACAGAATCAATAGCAGACCGCTTATGACAACTACTGAAGTCATTATGTCTCGTTTCAGTGACATGATTAATAGAGATACTGGAATGTTCTCCCGCACGCACAGCATCGCCAGCTCAGCCCAGGATACGAGCAGGTAGACGACATCGGAGGAGAAGAAGGCTATGTCCCGGGTAACCTGGTGGAACATCCCGCGCCCTAACAAAACGTTGGTAACGAACTGGTCCATGCCTCCTGCTAGGATGTGCAAAAGAGCGATAGAAGCGATGGTGTAGAGCTTCCTGGGAGAAGGTTTGACTCCTCTGTCCAACATACTCAACACCAGGGCGGTGGAGAGAAGCTCGGTGACGGTGAAGAGCAGCTGGTGGTACCACTGGACGTAAAAGTCGTCGTTGTAATACCCAAAGAACATCCACCACGAGTAATAGTGCGGGTGAATGACGGCAAATAATAGCGCCAGCATGGTGTATCTGATTCTCCCACAGAGGGCGATGCGGACGACATAACTAATGCACTCGTACGTCATTATTACGGCGACAACTGTCAGGCCCCACATTTTGAACGTCTGAGCCGTCACGTTGAAGTAGACGTGCTTGTAGCGACCGACTCCCATTTCGTACGTGCCTTTGAACACGGTGTCCCAGCACTTGCACGTGCAGGCTTCCCTGTCCACGTCGGCTTTCTCCGGGCCCCATATCTTCATTATCACTCCAAAGTACACGAATTGAATGAAAGTCAGGAACAAAATCGTACACAGAAACCCGGCCAGTTTGGCAGTCTGGTAAAGTCTGGTCGTCCGCTGTTTTCGCTCGGCAAAATACGTCTGCATCGTTTCGATGTCGCCCTGAAGTAGAGGGATATCCGCATCCATTCCGCTGGGCCGTCCGTGATTGAACAGGTTGGAGAGATCTGTAATGGAATAAAGAGACAGAGAAGCCTCGCACAATCGCATTACCGTCGGACACAGCGACCAGGCTGGATTTATGGACGAGGGCCAAGGAAGTTACGTCCAGTTTATTAAATCAGTGGGGGTTTAAAGCTCCTTGATGAAATTAAGCCCGAACGCACTTCCCCGAGTTGGCTACACATTTCTGTGCATGCGACATTTCCGACAGCATTATTGGCTAGCAATTATATCAAATTGCCGTCACAAGAATTATAGTCGAATTTACTGTTTTTAAAGCTCCTCCAATGTAAACAACTAATTGTAAGTGCGTTGTGATATAATTGGGACATCATTTTATTCGAGGAAAGACATATACATGACCCTAATCATGTGCTCATTACTTGAGTTTAGCATAAGCAATAAACTATCGTAATGACAAGATATGTCTAAACAATTGGACAACACAGTCAATATATTAAAAAATCACCACCTACCTATGTCCTATGTCGCTGACTGGAGGAAAAACCGACCGTATACTTATGCACAACAGACGATCGATCTAAACCAGAGATGACGTCACTTGGAGACGCAGTGAATACGGGACAAAACTGACGATGTTTGTACAATGTAGCCTCCACCAGGCCTTCCTACGGGGGTACGGATCGTAGAATGTGACAGACAAAGGAAAATGATTGGCCAGGAGAGTCAGTTTGCTGGAAGTTATTTTCCCCCTCCCAAGTAAATGAACTCTACGGTGGCCAAACTCCCCTGGCCATTCAATTATTCTCTTTATTTGGCTACGTTTTATTGTTTTGAACCCACGTTGCTGCATTGGGGACTACGCTGCTTCGTTGACAGTGGCAGACACACAGAGGTTTTACCTGGCAAATTCCAAGGACACGCAAGATGCAGCTATACCATACCGTAATATTCAGCTTCATCAGTAGCAAACCATATCATCAGATGAGATGTGCATAGCACTTATCCATGTACACATACAGAGCCTCATATCTTAGGTCCTCTGCTTAGAAAACTGAGAATACAAAGCTATAGATAACAGCCCTCCTCCGTCAAAACATAGAAATGCAAAAGTAACATAAAAATATGTGACGGACATGCATCCACTCTCTCATTGGTCGAACTGCCACTGTCCCATTGGTTCAACTTTTAATTGTGATGGATAGTCAATGATACAATAAAATACTATACAGGTATCATGCAATGATGAGCCTACTCAGTGTAGACCTTTGCTTTATCAAGGATCAGTTGTCACGTTACCGGATCTTATATAAGAAAACACGAAATGCGGTTTAAAACAAAGCACAATTTAAATAATTGGTCTTAAATGTTGACATAAATTTTATTGGTGTTTATTTGCAAAATCATGCCCGAAGGCTAATTGCTTGTACAGTCAAGTATGCAGAAACAGGAGACAGGTAACAATCTGTCTGGAAAAACCTCTACTTCTACTACTACTCTAGCTATTAAGGGGTTCGACTTCTTCTTTGAAGGCAGTGGATAATGAATAGTCCCACATTCTGCATAATTAGTGGGTTTTGTGATCTTAGTAGAAATGTAGTCTTTTGGTGATCTTCTAAATTGGTACTTTATTAATGCTAATAAGACTGGACTAAGTTGCACATTTTTGAGCTTTTTCTGAACATTAAGACGAAGAGATATTTAGCAATAGGTATATTTGGTGGTTACCTGCGGTAAAGAATTGCGTGGCCTCTTGTTTGAGTTGGCCAGTTTTCCCTTCCGACATCTGCTTAGTGAAATTTCCTTTACATGTATCCGACAGCCAACTCCCAACCATGGAACGAACGAACGTGATATTCAAATCCCGGGGCCTAAATGGCCTCAAATAAAGATGGACAAAGACAAGAAGTGGGACAAATCTCTCTATGGTGCATCCCTAAATGACGCATCTCCCTCATCAATCATTGATGAGTATCAGTCACGCTGTTCCCAGATTTAGCACGAGTACATGTACCTCATCCATCTTCCTACTAATGATGAATCTTTCCAAATCTGTTTTTCTCTCCTACATGTATCGGAAAGATGTTTGGGCTGTTTCGTGACAAAAATGGCTCTCACATAACTCCCGCACATTACACTGTGATGTCACATAACGCGCTCTTAATTTCAATAATTCATCTTTATTTCCTATTCATGCCAAAAGGGCTCAACGATGCACACATTATTGAAGTGCAAGTTGAGTATCATATATACACTACCGTCGAATAGTTTTAAGAGTCGCCGTCTATCCTAATAAAGACAGAAAAGCAGAAGCCTCTAACGGGCATCAGAAGCCGCTGGAAAGTAGCCTGGGTACCATCCTGGTTAGTTTACGTCCGCTCGCACAGTTGCTCTTGGTGGGAGGACGAAACTAACCAGGATAGTACCCAGGCTAGCTGGAAAGATCTGGAGTAGAAACTGGCCATACAGACCCTCCTACTACATGTAGATACACATGTAACTAGACAACACCAGTCCGAGATTGTCCGGATAGAAGCTTCATGAGGAGTCCATATACTTTTTGGTACCACCGATGAATAGCTACAACCAGCCTACGATACGGAACAAGCAACCTTTTTTCCGTCGATCTGCGACATCACACCCAGGATACTTTTCCGCGCGACATCACATTTTGCCACACAGTGTGCCATGGAATAGTCTTGATGCAACTTAATATGAGTGACCAGAAAATTGAGTTTGAAGATCCAGTTGTACTGCCCCAAATTCGTTTTGCGTGCTTATAATAATAAGGAAATGAAACACTGCCATATGTTGGTCGTCCATAAAATTTACTTGTGGCATGTTCATGTAGCCCTTGTCATGATGTACATGTAACACAGTAGAGTATGTAACACGGCTTATTAATAATATCGTACAGTTCAACCAAAATAGTATACATGTATGTACTATATATTATGTCATTACCGGTACCTGGTAATCTGGGCACATAACCATGAATAAAATTAGATTAGCCAAAATATATATGCTTGTACATTGAAAATAACTAGAATGTCATTCCAGTAGTATACAGTACTATACACTGTGAAATCAAACATAATTTGTAGCACTCAGAGAGACCTGAGAGACTGTTTGTGTCTCACTCTCCAAAAATACTATACACAGTGTAGTACTACACACATGTACCTTATTTTTCACTGTAATACCATAATCTGGTTCAGACCTGGATCTCGTTATTTTGACTTGGATCTGCACTTGGACCTGATCAAGCCAAACTGGTACCCACTCCTATATCTTAACTAAACTCCTACTGGTTTGCCTCAAAGGACACTTGAGTTCGACATTCCAGTAGAATTATTCATGTAAAAATTCTCAACACACATCTTAGGAAATATTCAATTGATATAATCACAATGTATACAGAAGTATAGGTCATCATAATTATCAAGATCAAACAAGTAACACGTTACATGTAAGGATTTATGTACCCTGTAATTATATAATTTATAGATTTACCAGCTAGGCATTTTTGTCTTCATGTATTTTTATAACATTCACTGTACTCGTGTCGTATAAAATCTCACCTTGAATAATCTTTCAGTGCAACATTCAAAGTTGTTGGCATCGTGTTGGGTTGAAGTAGAATTCGTGATTTGGAATGATTTGTTGTTACATGGCTTCATGATTATGGCAGGCATGGTAGTAGGGAACTGTCATTGCTCAAAAGGACAAAAGTATAGATAAGCTTTTCCTCCATGGCAAACCATATCAAACAAACATAATTTCTGTATCATAATACACTGAAAAGAAATTGACTCATCAGTAAGTATGTTTTTTTATCGTAGTACTAGTATATATGTATGTTTCTTTACGGACTCAAGCACTCAGCTGCCATCTCCTTTCCAAATTGAATGGCAACTCCCTCTAGCAGGTAGTTATCAAACTACAGGACAATAGTCTACAAAATGTTCACATCACGACCAATATTGGCACAACTGGTCTAAATGCCAAAATGGGTAGTATCAAAATATGTCTGCTGAGTTAACTTGGGAAGACCCTGTTTCCTTCCATGACAACTGAAGGATGCTGGAATGATGAGGCACTAATGATGCCTTATAGTCACATTTGACAGACAACAGGCACTATCGACTGTGACCCTAGCAGTACTAGTATACCCCAATGTTCTAGCTAATGTCCATCTCTCTGTCATTTGATGGAATTTTGCTGCTCACAATGAAAATTTCACCCATCTTGGAACGAGATGTCATTATATAGTAAGCTTAGTCTTCAGCCAATTTTTTCCTTCAAAATGCAGGAAATAGTGTTTCAGAAGGTCAAGTCTTTTAGACTTCAAAATTTTCCCAGAGGAGCATGCCCACGGACCCCTAGGGGTGTAACACCTCTTGCGCTCGACATGATACAACACAGTTATAACAAACAAAATTGAGATGACGGGAAAAAATTCTTGCTGGCTAGAACAATGATACACTAAGGGGTACTTTCACTCCTACCTCATATATGTATGAAAAGCAAAAAGTTCTGCAAATTGTCTGAACTGAACTAAATGAGAAGGCAAATAAACGATTAGTTCTCTGTCTGCTAGGATGACAATATGATAGAATTCTAATACAAAGCAGCACAGCAACATTATACAACCAACATACACCAAAATTGAACCTCAACATAAATGCTTCTTTAAACTGTGTGACAAAGATTGCCTTTGTCTACTACTACGAGGTAACTATGGCAAAACATGAGCTCCTCAAAGACAAAATATTACAGTAACTGTGTCATTCTATCATAGTGACTGAACAAAAGTTCAGTCCCAAAGGTATGTAAGACATCGCCCTACATGTACATGGGATGAAAAGTTGCAAGTTTTCAAATGTTCAAACTGTTTACGTTCAAAGCCACTTGCTCCAACATGCAAGTCAATAAATACAGCTGCTGACCAGTAAAAATCTCAAAGATTTATAAAGATGGCAAATGACAGTCCAGTAAACCCCCCTCCCCCATGGGATGTATTGTCAGATATGTGAGGTGGTGGAGTAGCTACTTTCTGTCTCGTATATGGTCATTGCCTTTTGAAGCAGTTGATGCCATATTGCAGAATAGCTAACTTTAAGTGTAATAGAACACTCCTAGTTAACACCATGATGTTTCAAGATGTAGAGAATTAGGGTTTTAGAATTTTTGAAGCAGGTTCAAATCTTATGCTCTGTCTTTTTTCACTAGACTAAGTATCTTCACTATTTTTCACAATGGTGTCATAAATTTGAGAATGAAATGTTGCTTTTTATAGAGTTTTAAATGTTTTTGCCTCTTAAAGAAGTTATGATTCACTGGAGATGGCATCAACCATTCAGCGATATTGCATCGACCGTTTCAAATAGCAAAGACTGTTTACGAGACGGAAATGCTCAGTGGAGGATGTCCTGTCACTGCTATGTGTTCAGCCCCATGAAACTGTCCAGCTGATGCTGGTATCGACTCTGGAGTGGCAGCAGGTACCGTCTCTCTGTAGGGATCTTGTGACACTGTGGAAGAAAAAGACCCAATATATGAATACTAGTATGAGTCACTGAACTAGTCTCATGGTATAGAATACACTGTAATCCTGGAATTAAAGTTGCTACCCCTTCAGACTAATATTTATATCTAATCTATTTGTTATATGTTTAATATACACAGGATTAGTGATTTGAGATTTGTACTGCTCAGTTACAGCTCAGTTTGCCAAGTAGTTTCCTTCATGCTAGAACTCTTCTATGCCCTTTCTAAATTTTCCTATTAGCTGTAGCATTTAGACTTTCCCACATTCCGACATGTGGCATTCTTACATTAGTTCCATTCAAGCCTCGAGCATCCACCACTGACAGTTGCTCTTCAACCTTTGACCTCTTGGGTTGTGACAGCCCCTCCCACTCCCAGGGTGACCTTCGGAACGTCCTGTCGACCCTGAACAGGTGTCCCTCCGTGGTGAAGAGGTAACGTCGGGCATGCTGGTTCACGTGGTTGTCCTTGTCAAACAACTGTCAACATTGCACAAAATGGCATCATTTTACAGAAATCATACAATGCATATTCTGTGAGAGTCTGCATGCCTTTTTCCCCATCCGAAAATTTTCTGTGAAACATAGCAAGGATACCCCATGCAGACCCCTTTTGTGAAAGAATGAGGTTTCTTTTCACAATGTACCTTTAGAAGCTGTACAATTTAACATGATTAGATGTAACAGTTTGCATTTAACTCATAAGATTGTATTTCCATCACTGGGTGACAGGTGGCACTTTCAGCTACAATCCCTTACACAGACCTGGAGATATACAAAACTTCTATTCTTTTCAGTACCCTGAACTGAGTTTCCTGACATTGAAGTCTTACATGTGATGTGCTATTGAGATAGCCCATGTAACGTTTGTAGCAGGGGTAGAAACTGGAACCTTACCAAATATAGGTATTTGCAGGTCTCACTGAGGAAGAAGCTCTCCATACGGTCTTCCTGAGTCTTGTTGATCACACAGTGTAGAGTTGCATAGCCACATCTGAGAAAACAAAAGCTGACAATGTCAATGTCTGAAGACACAAGGCAGCTGCCATTTTAAAAATAACATTTTGATGGTCATGGCACAAAGACGACTCTCAAAAAGTTTTGCTTGTGGCAAATATGTTACATGAACATTGAAATGGTCGCAAAAAAAATCAAAATAAATCCATGTGGAAATTCAAGAATTTCTCAAACATCTGCAAGATAATTCTGTTTCTTACTTTGCCTTGGCATGTTGCTCTAAGCTTCTCAAGATGTCTGTCCCTACATGCAGGTAGAAGGGGTTTTTGGTGGCCTGGGGGGAGATAACAGTGGTTATTCAGTCCAGGGAAATTGACAGCACTCACATGTCATACTAACATACAAACTAACCATCTTTTGCATGCAAAATGTAGAACTAAGTGACTATAAAGATCTTTTCCAGTTTTACTGCCCTGAAATCCCTTAGGGTTTCTTTCAAGTGTGCTTGCCCCTTTACCTGATACAGTAAGTACGTTGACTCCACCAGTTCAGGTCGCAGTGGGTAAAAGCGAACATCAGGTGCCTTCAGGTGCCAGTTGAACCTCTCCGGCAGTGCCCCGTACCGCCGCCAGATGGCGTAGTACACAGCGTGGTGGCAGATCGCCTCCTCTATGTCACCGTTCAGAACCTACAAGGAAGCAAGGAAGAACAAAGACACACCAGTGATGAGCAGATGTCAACATAGAGTTGTGCAGTGAAGGCCCCAAAATGGGAACACATTTCAAGTCCCTAGTTGATATCTTTGTCAAAAATCCTTTTTCTTTTAAATGTTGGTCCAGTTTGATGGAACAGGTTGGGTCTAAACTTTCCTACTTTGGTCAAGTTTTGTTGATTTCACCAGCATAATATGTGTACAAACAGATCTGAGTGGTTTGGTCTTGCATGGATACATGATAAATTGAGGTAAAAGTTAGGGTTAATTATTATTGTCAGCTCAGAGATGTCTTGGAGTTTGAACTGGTCAACCCTGTTTTCCTTATATACATGCATTTGGGAGGTAAACCCTTGTGACTTTCTGGTGCAGAAGAATTTTAGAGACTGACATGTGGGGAAGTACTAAAGTTTTATGAATCCATGGCCAACTTTAATGATGCTATCTACCCTGATGTCCCCAGTCTGTAATGTCACAGGACAGACCTCGTCTGGAAACTGTTACATCCAAGCAGTTCCAACATCCTGATGTACAGCCCCATTTAGAACACATTACCCTCCAACTGGCACCCATACTGGGGGAGCAAGAGTGCCCTCAGGGCAGATTTAGGAAGACAGAACTAGGTGGCAAATGGCAAGAACAAGTAGAGGAAATTGGGTGGCAGATCTCATGATCAAAAATACAGCTGTAGAAAACTTAACAGCTTGCAAAACTGTCATCTTGACTAATATACTAGTGGATGTACCAACCACTAGGTACCAGTAGCTAGTACCAGCTCAGAAAAGAACAAGGCCTTAGTCATTCCTTCAGGTACCAGAGCTATCAAGTAAGGATTGAGGTGTTCAAGAAAATTTGTTCCTAGAACTATCGTAGAGTGGAACTTGCTGCCACTGAGTAAAGAAGGGACATAGATGGCTTAAAAAATGCTTAGAGTTAGATGTGCAATGGTTGGGTGTAACAAATCGTTCAGTGTAATATAGCCAGCTGCTGCCACACCGCATACCTCCGAAGCTGGTGTGTTATGCCAAACGGCAGTTATACCGGCAACACAGATTTCCCCTTCCCTTTTTTTTCACTAGAAACAGCCCGTACTGTTTATAAAACAAGGCTGCAAACTTCCTCAAAATGCCTCCTTCTAATTTCCAATGAAATGTTTGGACATGAAGAGTTTGTAGAGGAGCCCTGGTATTCAGCAGGCACAGATAGGCTAAGTGAGACCACAGGTCTGTACCTGGCTGCATATCCCTTCCCAGACATCATGGCATTACTCTTCATCACATCTGCAGCTCAGAAGATTAGCCCTGATACAAACCACCTGTCCTGAGGGCTTCTCTGTTAAGGTTCTGTACTACACTCTTCTTAGTGCCCTATCTGGTACTCTGTTATTACCTTAACCAAGAGGGTTGTTTTTGGTAGCATGTGTGTGTTTGTCTATCTGTGTGTGTGTGTCTGTAAACACGATAACTCAAGGACGCTTACATGCATGAATTGTCTTTATTTTTAAGGTGGGTACATGTAGGTCTTCAGGAGACCTCGAAATGATTAGAATTTGGACCCCTGGTGGCTTGTTATGGTACTGCAGTGGAACTTTCGGTTTTGATAGCTCCATATAGAAGTTACTGTTGGCAATTCCATATTTGTAGCATTTCAAATTTAAGTGAAGGTGAACATCATTAAACATTACTCATTCAAAAAATTTAGAGCCTCACTTGTATAATGTATAAGGAAAAGCTAGATAAATCTGTCATTCTGACTAGAATATGATCAACTTACCCCTGGTATATAACTCATGCAAATGAGAATCTTATTTACATAATCAATGAGAAACATTTATAATTTGTCGACTGTCAGGTTGACATCTTTTGGCAAAGGTATGAGATTGTGGAACTCTTGCTAGTAATGGTCATACATGTAATGTAGATGTATAAAACATACCAATTGCCATTTGGAAAAATTTCAAATCAGTTCATCCACTGTCCTTGGCAAAATATCCATGACTTTCTGAAGGCTCACACGATATTGTCTAAATCTCCATAATTGGAAGATATATGTATGTAGCTTTAGAAAAGCTTATCACTTGTCTTAATACATGAAATTAGGTGATAAGGCTCATTAGCAGAACAAGGTTAGATGATGGTGTGGGCCTAATTGGGATAATGGACTGATCCTGACTGTCCAACAAGACACTCATCAAACCTAAATAATGGAATGTTCTGTGTTTTTTTTTGCTACAAATCCCACTGTAAGCAAGCCGTGACTCTTCACAGTACTTGTTTAACACAGCAGCTATTACCACCAGTGAGATAGTTGGCCAGTCCTGTCACCAACAATAGTAACAACCTCATTAGTATAAATAGAGCCTGCAGAATGCAACCCACACCAAACAACCACAAGCTACAAAGATAACGGATGTACCCTTCACCAACCCGCGTTCCAATTTACCTGAGCACATAGTGCACGAACGTAGAGGTATGGAGATATCAATGTATACTTAATGTTGAAATGCAAGTCTACTGAAAAAAAAGGTCAAAATTTGAAGTCCAGATTGATATCACACCCTTGTCATTATTGTCATGCATAGCAGGAAACTAAGCACTCTTGTATCCCTAGATCAATAGTAGCTTATCTAAAACAGGACCAGGTATCAGAGGTTACGTCTGTGTCCCTAAATCTGGCACAGGAATTTGCCTTGATCTGACACTTACCACGTACTTGGTGCCAATGTTCTTTGTTTACGTATCCCCGGAAGGCATTCAAAATATTTGATTTGGGGTTAACCCGACAAAATCGCCCAGCTTTTCTGGTAGAAGGTGGATGGACCAGCCCTGTGCTAGCCTGTGCTAGTTCCAAACTGGGGACAATGAGAACACAAACAAGCTGCTATGTTCTTTATCAGAAACCCTTCAGCTGTCAAGAAGATACAAATATCATGTCAAGGGTAAAAGGTCACCTGGGCACTACAAGGACCTGCTGCAATTCAAGTTAAATGTAGTCCAGTCAACAGGACTTGTAGGGGTTCTATATCTGTTCTGTTCTAAACTGGGGATACACATGTCCCTTCTATAGTACCCTTTGGCCCACATGGCATCTTTTAAACCTGTCAACATATCTTATGATAGCAGTAAGGATTGTTCCAGGAGGGTAGACAATGTTCATTTTAAGGGTCGACAAATCCCAGTTTAATGCTAAGGGTCGACAACACTTAACGGTAAATTCAGGAAGGCTGGCAAGGTTTAATGCTAAATTAAGTTGTTCTTGTGTAAGGCCTTGGGAAATACTTTATCGGATTCTTGTTTTGTATTAATAGGGTGCCTGACCTTTCATAGTTGTTCGTACAGCATCCTGTGGCTTGGATCTACACCCTTTCCAGTTCATCTTTGTCTTTCTTTCTTTCTTGTATGTAATATTATGTACTATGTAGAGTCAACTCTTTTGGCTTTAAAGAGTTTACGATTAACTTCCAGTACACTTCCTCTCTGGCATTAATGCCTCCAGGTCTCCAGGTACTTTTTTGTTGTTGAAAATCAACATTTTCCAGAGTAATGACACGTTAAACAGCCAATTTTATTGGCATTTACATGCCCTGATGAGATCGAGGTCATCTTTCATTACCAGATCATGACATCTACCAGATGTACATTTTGTAGACATCATGAATTGGACAGAACTTGCATCACAATCCAATTAACTTCTGTCTCTGTTGCATATGCAGGGCTCTTTCTGCATATCTGCATTGGTGCAGGTAACATTGAAACTTACCTGTACTAGACAAATTGTACCTGCACCACTTGGGATTTAGGAAGTATGGATTGTACTATAACTGCTAAGAAACTAACGGCATTATTTCATTTATACTCAACTGGTGGTAACAATCAATGCAGCAAATAAAAATCCACATATACACCTACATGTACCTTTCTACATATAAACCCAGTACATGGACCAGTGCAGGTTAGTTGCAGGTAGGCATCAGAAATACCTGCACAGCTCCAATTTTACCTGCATATGCAGGTGGTATTTTGAGCCCTGAAATGACGGCCTTGTGTTTACCTGCAGCCCCGCCCAGAAGGCCTGCAGGGAGTCGACCCAGGTGGATGCCAGCGACCCATCCCCGATGTTCACGTTGACGTACATGGGAGGGTTCCCCTGGCCGCTATTACACCTGTCCCGGCTGGGGAGGAACACAACAAACAATGCAACTTCTCCGCAGCAAAGCAAAATATACCCTGCATGAGGAATTTTCTGATATTGACATATCTTAGCACATTTTTGGCACCATTTTATGAGGAGTCTAGTTATGTTTAGGTACCACCAATAAATAGCAAGAACCAGGTATGATGCAAAACAAGCAAATGGACAAGCCATGGACATTGCATTTTTGCCTCACAGATATAGTATGGGATAGGGTTGATTCAACTTAATATGTGGCCAGAAATTGACTTTGAAATTCCGTTTTACTATCCTGAAATTGCTTTGGGTGCCTTTAAACAGATCACATCTGTACTCCACTATAAGGTACCGTCAGCTGCACTCTTTGACCTTAATTTGTTTTGGCAAAGAATGTTGAGGAATGCTAGCAACATATGAAGTTCATTAATACTAAGTTTAGCTTATCTGTACAGATGGCAAAATAACATTTCAATGTATGAAGAGTATGTCATTATAGGATCTATAATTGACTATGTTAAACATACTACTGTAAGAACAGCAAGTCTAAGCATACACAACAGCACTAGGCAGTTGGAGAAACATCAACTAGGCAGTTGGTGCAGTTTCAGGCACGTTGCACAAGGTTAGGAAATAGAATCTTGCATGCCTAAAATGACCATGTGGAAAACTAAAGACAAAGTCTCCCACCCTTTCCTGAGGTTCTGTTTGACGCTGGTGTAGATCTCCCGGAACATTTTCAGGTCCTCTGGATCACCGTACATGATGTAGCCCTGGTGGAACCACACAGGAAGAAGATCTTGGTACAACTTGTGAGCAAACTCTTATGGTAACTGTACCAGTAGTAACAACATACTGCTACTATGGTATCACATGGCTTATCTGTAAATTTTCACCATTACTCTAATATTAACAATATCAGTTGTCTGAAGTATTTGTGTGAATCATGTACATGTAGTTGTTCCACAAACTTTTTTATCCAAGATTGGACAAGACAATTACTGTATATACCAGCAGTGACCTATCTCCTACATTCTACAAAATTCAACACTTTTTTTTTCTTTGTGAAACAGAAGTGCCAAGCCCAGAATGACCTTACCTTGAACAGGTATTCATAGAAGGAGTCTGACCCCGCCCCAAGCCCCGCCCATGGACCCATCCATTCCCCAGTCTGGATGTTTATGGTGTTCCCTAAAACAACAAAAAATACCAGTGTAAAGCCCCCATCACACAGAGCCGAATATGGCCTCCTGAACACTGCCGGAGTTCCCCCAGCCATGGTTAGGAGAAAGTTCAGTGGTTGGCTGGTGTTCGGCAAAGTCGGCTACTGTTCAGCTGCATTAGCTGAATGTTCCAAAATGTTAAAAACATGGTTCTGAATGTGTGACAGGGGCTTACCGTAAACCACTGGGACAACATGGAAATGCCAGACATTTTATGGGATCATTTCAATCCAAAACAAGTGTTGTCAGAACAAGCAATTACATGTATATACATAGCTCTGTAGAAACAAGAATACATGTATTTTGTTTATGTCTTTAAAACGTACACAGGTAAAATTTGATGGATGTAGCTTTAAAGTTTCAAGAATTAAGTTTTGTATGTCAGGTTTTTGCACATGTATACTATAAATCCTACCTTTCTAATCTGGGAGGAAAATTACATGGTGTAAAGACAATGCAACTTGCCTACATACCTACGAGCCCAGTGGAGGCATGCCTGTACCTCCACAGTGCCTTGACGGCTCTCCTGGCGATGCTCTCGTACACGGGATCCCCCACCAGCCGGCTGAGCAGGCCGAACTCCAGCAGCAGGGAGCCAGCCCCTGCCGTACACGTGTCGTTACGCGGGTTCGACGGAAGACCATGTTTCAAATTTACCTGCAATGTATGGCAGAATAAAAAATAACTTCAAATGATTGTAATCACATCACCAGGCCAAGGAATCTCATCTGTGTTACTGGGTGGGTGATTATAAATGTTGGCTTGTTAACCGTTTTGTTTTTTTCTTTTTAGCAAATCGCAGACCCAATTTACACACAGGAAAAAAAAATGACAGTAGGAAAAGTGCATATGTTGAACTTTTTTTGCGGGTAAATAAGCCTGCTTTGACGTACATCAAGAACACATGTTTCAGATCGTACGTTACCTCAAGGATTGGCATAAGATCTGAACATGTTTTTGCCTGCCTGTAAATCTGTTCTTAGGCCAAGTTAGGGCCTGAGCCAAGTTTCACAACAGAAGCCTAACTGCAGTTAAAGCTACAACTTGTGCAACTTGGTCCTGGATCCATTTTAGTGAAGCACCCCATATAATGATAATGGTAACTGTTTTATACATTGCGCATGTTCAAAGTGTCGGCAGTGATTATAGCAAGTTCATTCTGTCCTCACATGCCATCCTCGTCAACTGTACTTGAAATTTGTATACTTTGACCTTTCCATAGATAGGGATCTGTGTTATTTCATTTTATGTGCAGTGCCCTCGTGATCTCTTGGTGATACGTTGTATGTCTGTCACAATGTGTGTAGACTACGGACCCAAGGATACTGTGAATAGGGTGAAATCAGAAAAATGACTGTAACGGCTTTTAGTGGAAAACAGGCATGAACTCTCAGCCTGACAAAAAGGATTACAGCACACACTTTCAACCCCTATACTGTATTATTCTCAACAAGATAGGGAGGCAAGAAGAAATCTACCTCTTTCTGATAATACATGTATTATTACATGCTTATAAAGGCTACAGCAATTCAGTGTTTTGGTTCTCAAAAAAAAATATGAAGTGACAGACCTAGGCGAAAAATGAAACAGGCCTACATATAGGCACTATAAAAAAACCAAAATTATTCAATAGGAGCCATAAGTCAACATAGTAGGGTGCCAGGCTGTTTTCAATTCAAAAATGAATTTCAAAAATCATAATCAAACCTTTTGGTGTCTCTGGCTATGACCAGGGTTCAATGGTGTTGTCATAACTGCATTATTGATTTACATTTCGGAATTCAAATGAACAATTAAGGATGACTTCTGGCTTTAAACACTGAGTGCACCAAGGTGAACCCAAGGTCACAGTTTAATTCACTCCCAGAAGGCAATCTTGGAGCATATGTGACAGACTTCTAGTTTGTGTTGATCACAGGCACAGTTGGGGGTCTGTCCTTGTGTCACTCAAGGAACGCAAAACAGGTTCTGCAGTCACATCCTCATTATTTAAGCTAAACCTTTCTACTATGAAATTCTAGTTGTTAACTGCTGTACTATGCAACTTTAGATTCTTCCCATATGTTTTACGATTTAGTCAAACTTGGCAAAGCGACCACCTCTATAAACCGACCATATGGCCATGATGGTTGCTTTTTCTCCGTCCCTGAAATTTTCCCCATAGGTGCATCACCACAACTGGGACAATTTCAGACAACACACGGCCTAATACCTGCTGTGATGGCCATGTTATTTTGAAGCATGTAACCATATTGATTTTTGGTAAGTAGAAGACCAGATTCAGCAGGTCCCCTGGGTGGCCATTTTAGACAAGTTTGATCGTATCTTTAGGGCATACCATTATAATGTCACCAATGATGCAATACACCAAGTACACGTGATTGTTCCAAATTTTTGCCTGACAGTCTTGTATTGTCCTGCCAGTTTTGGTGGCGCCGACGGTGACACTGTTCAGAGCGACACAGATTTATCGCTCCGACCTCGGCCACAGGTTACCCCATTATCCACACCTGTGATTATGCACAATGAACACCGGTTTGGCTACTTCAAAACCCCAACGGGCAGTTACCTTTGTCATCACAGAACGACTCAGTAAATAGGGTGAATCAGCAAAATTTCTAACCTGTCATATAGTGAGACCGAGATACTACTAACAAATTTCATGCATACATTTTCCTTTGTTTTCAGCTCACAAAATTGCTCGCAAAAGTACCCAAGTAGAAGTTGTATATATGTGTACATAGAAACTTGTTTACATGGGTAAAAGATAGCATCTTCTACAAAATGTTCTGGACTGTAGAATCAGTAAGATCTTACATCATTTTGCCCACAGCATCCAAGATATGCTCTGCTGATCATGCTCACACTGATTTGAATATGTTAATGCTAAATACTTCACATAACTGGATGCCATTCCTGTTCAGGACAACCTGTCTTACTGTAATTCAATTAGATAATTTAGAACTCAACATTTACATGCATCACTGCTATCATTTAGCAATATTGCACTGGACTCAAATTAAAAAATTTATATCAGTTGACAGATACATTACTCTTGTGCTTTATGTTCATTAGAAGGTATGAACTTAATGTAATAATCTTATTGGGGAGTTCATTTTTGGGATATTCAGTGAATAACAGGGCAATTACACACAACTTTTGTGTCATACTTTATATTTTGTATATATATATATGCCCACATGTCATCTCCAGGACCAGCTATAGTATAATTACTGTCGCAGTGATCAAAAAATGTTTTTTCCGCAGACCTACATACATTGTACACTGGTGTAGGTAACCTTGAGAATTACCCGCAACAGACAAATTTACCTGCACCACTGTGAATTTAGGAAGTATGGATCATATTAAAAACTGTTCACAAGACCTGTACAATTGTATATTCCCGGTAACCCCAGTACATGGACCAGTGCATGGTTACAAATGTAGAAGAGAAATACCTGCACAGCTCCAATTTTACCTGCAACTTTCAGCCCTGTGTAGTAATCAATGGATTACCGGTATCTAGATTTGCTGAATTCCATGTCTCCAGAGACTGGGGACTTCCTGACCAATTGTGTGGCATGGCCAGATCTTAATACCACATCGCAGTGCTCACATTGACTGACCTATGTGGTCACTGTGATGTTGCAGCAAGACAAGGCCCTCTTCTAGGCAACAAATTACTGTACAATCAAATATTATCATTTATCATTTGGCTACTGCATTTTTTCTACTCCGAAATCCAAAGTGCAAGAATATCTAACCAGTGATCTAGCCAGCGTAGGTCTTTCCATAATTTGACAGAATTTTGCTGCTCATGACAGGAATTTTTCCCAATCCGTCAAAAATCAGCGGGTAAAGATATTTTTAAAAATGTCATTGAACTAAGCTTAGTCTACCGGCACAATTTGCCCCTCAAAATGCAGGAAATTCAAATTTTTCACGCCAAGGATTGTTGTGCCCTTGGTACTTGACATGAAATTATGTCAAACAAAATTGAAATGACAGAAAAAAATTCAGGCTGGCTAGAATACATCATCATCTTTTCATCTTGTTTCTGGGATAGGCCTTATCGTGTTGTTTCTCGGACAGGCTATATTGTGAACTTAACTGTTATACTATAGTTTAATTTGCTAAGTCACTACTTATTTACCTGTGTGTCCCTGAAACTTTATTCACATCTTATCTAATACACAGTGCTATCAATGATAAATGCAGCATCACTGAGACCACAAATTGGAGTTCCTTCACTTCCAAAACGCTGGGAGAGAGTTGCACTGGTCCTTGAAGTAAAACTGCACTGGTCCTGCTGACAACACAAAATGGCCCTACTACCTGTACAAACCCGTAGGGACATTCTGATGTTGTCTGCATGACCAGGCAAGGTGTCGTGATACCTGCCCATCCTGAAGGTCAACGTCCCTGTTTCAAAACTGTTACATCATTCATAAATATTCAATGTATGTCACAAACTATTGAGGTCATACTCACTAACTATGATGCTAGCGCTAAAGATTTGGTACATACAGATCTGGTATGTTTGCCTCAGTTGTTAAGAGGCAATAGTGTGTTCTTTGAACTTGTTGGGCATTTTTTTCAACTCTACAGTGATAAATCACTGTCAAAAAAGCAAAGCATAATTGTAATGCCTTGTGGCACATGTTGGACTGCCTGCTGTGAACAACAAAAACGTTACTGTATCGTTACAAGCAAAATCTAACTTCTGTCACCCCTTATTCACTCAGTAATTACAATTATTCCTATGGACATTGACAAGTCCAAAATCCAGCCGAAATTCTTGAAACTTGCTTCTCAATGACACATACATTTGTATTTTACATACACGAAGGAGTAATGTGTGCAACATATTCTTTTGACACTTCCCTCTGTTCCAACTGTTGTCTGTATATGTGACCCATTTTGGCCTGCATTACACCAAACAATGACACGCTGTCACTTGTAGAAGTGTACAAACATGAAGACTGCCAATAATACTACTCTGTAGTGCTGGGCAGTAACGAAGAAGAAGAAGAGACACTTCTGTAGGTCATCAGCAGATAAACTACAGCTGTTAGTTTCACGCTGCAGTACCTATTTTCTCTTGTGTTCGCTGAAGATAACGTAAACAGTGGTATAAAGATGTAATTTACAGCTCGATAATGTATGGAATATCCTTATTGCCAGTAACATGGGTGTCTATTAGACTCAGAAGGTAAAATATTTCTTGATATTCAAAGCAAATATTCAAAAGCAAGAGGCTTATTCATACGAAACGCATTGGAAAGATATTCATAATGGTGCATTTTACCTTAGGTTTACCTACCTTTCCTTTGTGAAGATACTAGCGGCCACAGGAGTGGTACAACCAAGCCTGTTACTCTACACTATGTAAGTAAAGCCCTGCATTCTCCATACTGACTTACACAGAGATATGCTGGCTTATGTGTTTAAGGGGCGTGGTGCCTCATTATGCTGCTGACCGGGGGCATCAAGTGACACTTCAAACCAAGAATAAAACATCAACTGTCATCAGCACTCTACACAAGTAAAAGGAAATCAGTCTGTGACAAATGTTTCTGTTCAAGCGATTTTTGTCAGAGTCCCTTTACGCATATGTGATGCTAGCACAATGTTGTCATCTGTGGTATGACAAAACTTCTTGACAAGGGCAGTGGCTGGAATACCGGGGCAAGGTTTTGAATGTGACAGGTGATAGCCAGTTTCAGGTATCTGCTTTGGGCAAACACTGAGTTGTGTATCTAAGGTGGGAGTCTTCTGGGATGAAAGAGCCTTTCTTCTGGGGTGAAGACGTACGTATGATATTCTGGTTCTCAAGATACACAATTGTAACACATCCCATCCTCTTGAGAAGTTGGAGATAACAGTTTTACCACCATGAAAGTCGTTTCTTTTTTCTTTTTCAAACTGAGGTAACCATTGTCTGCCAATCTACCAATGATATTTTTTATATACCATACAACACTTTGAGAAGTAGCAAAAATAACTTTCCGGTAGTTTAAGAAAGAAAGATATGCTTTACGTGTACGTGATGCTAGTACAGAAGATGTCATCATTAAGTTCTCTTCTGTTAAAGGCACACTGTTTTTTAATGTAGGCTGGTTCTAGCTATCTATTGGTGGTACCAAAAATAAAAGGACTCCTCACGTAGCTTGTTTTGGGGCTAATGGTATTTCAAATGCCCTAAAATATATGAAATGATGAAGAAAATGTGGTAAGAAAAAAGCAGTAACTGTCAACAGCACTTGGCACCCTGAAATCACATTGGATGGCTTTAACTTTTTATACACACTGAATAGTACCAAATGAGGAGAACTACGTGACCAAGCCCCTTCAGGACAGTTAATGAGCACTCAGCACATTAATAGTCCTGAGACTTATCTAGAGACTGTCAATCATCGAAACTAGTTATACAGGTCCTACCTAACTGCACAGGTTACAGAATATGAATAAAATCATTATAAAAATTGCCACTTCTTTATCCTGGTCATGCTTTAAAAATCATTTTATTATGTCAGAAATGATTGTCTATCATCTTGGAAAAAATCTGAAGAGGCTGGAAGAAAAAGCATTGCAAAGAAGTTACTGTGATTATACAGTGAAGATGTTCAAATTAGGTGCTTACATACACTACTACATACCCGCGGATAGGGCAGACCGGTGGGCGTGTTCTCGAACGCGGGCAGTAACCTTGTCCCGAGGTCGTGTGCGAGCTCCAGCAGGTCGTTCTCGTAGCCGTCAGGCTGCACGTCGCCGAAGGGCTGCAGGGGGTCGGTGATAATGAGGTGGGCCGACAGGAGCGCGCCCAACACCCTGGGGAGATAATCCACAACAATGAGCCAGTGTTCTGCACAAGTCAGACAACCCACCTACTACAACCTACCCAACAGTGTTCCAGCCAGCATGAAATTTTTTCCATCATCTCACTCTCAGTTTTGTTTGACGTTAAATCACGTTGAGTGCAAAAAGAGGATCTCAGGACATCATCCCCAAAGAACATTCTAAATTCTTGACCCTCTGAAGTGCTATTTTCCGTATTTTGAGGGGTAAATTTTGCTGGTAGACTAAGCTTAGTTTCTCTTTCCACATCTTAACACGCCAATTTTTTGTCCATCAAAGATGACGAATTGGGCAAAATTTTTGTTGTCAGAAGTGGTAAAAGAAAGACAGATTGCTGGCAAGAACACTGCTGCCAAATGCTTCTTTCTACCTGCATGGACTTGGTAAAAAGGACCATTTGTCACCACCAGTTCCCCATCGGTTCAAGCACTGTACATTACTGCTGACTGGTGAATCTGAAGATGTCTATCTTGTCATTAACAGAAAAAAATGTTGAATTTTATGGTGATGTGAGATGGGAGATGTTTCTCCCAGTGGAAAACCTTCCAGTACCTTCTTCAGCTGTGGACTATTTACCCAGTCTAAAAAAAACCA